TTAGCCATCATCTTGGAAATACTCAGCGCTTCCATCTTAAGATCGATGAGGGGATACCTCTCCAAATAATCAATTTCAAGAAAAGACGCCACAAAAGAGCAATCAGTTTCTAAAATGATGGGTTTATGAAGGGTAATACCGATATAAAGCCTTGCAAATGTTGCTCTCAGTTCCGCTTCATCCACACTATTGCAAACCCCAATGTAGTCCCAAGAAGAAATGATGACTTCACCAGTATGGTTCCTGGCAACCACTCCCACACTGGCAGCACTAATGGCCTCCACAAAACTTGCCTCAACATTGATCTTAATGAAGTCTGGATCGGGGGTTGCCAAATCACACATTTTCCATCCACATCATTGGTATAATTTACGTCATCCACCCTCTCCTTACCTTTAATGGTAATCTCCATCTTCATGTTGGTATGACAGGACGAGAAGGAGTCCCAATAGTTTTGAATAAAACTCACCGAGGCAGAGATAGCTTCTTTACCTTTACCAAAGATCAAATCATTTCTCAAGTGCCATGCCCTCCAAATAAGTGATACTTAGTTGGATCTTCGCTTTCTATGAATACAACACCGGATTACAGTTTTACCAAAATACATTTTAGACCAAGTGATTAATATTTTATTTTTTTGCTTTTGGAATGTTGTATGGCTCTTTCTTGTACATGTAAGTTTTAATGTGCATTATGTTTACATATGGGATGTAAGTGATAAAAATTCAAGTGGTTTGAAAAAATTTCGAGTCACACACATACCAGTAATTAAGCGCATGTACTCTCGTCACAAGCATTGCACAACCACCCACGCAGTGAAACAATCCGATTTGCGCCAGTTTAGAGAAACACTGGGAGAATAGAGTGTAGGACCAGCCCTGACATTATGGAGGCTCTGATTCAAATGGGGTACAATTGACCTAACAACTATAACATACTAAGATTTCACTAGCATATATCTTATCATGAAAATCATTATAAAGGCATAAGCATCAAAATAATTTAAGTTAGCAAATGGAAGTCTTGATACATCATGTACATGTGA